CATATACACATGCACACACACTTTCTGCTAATGCTGATGGAAAAGCATCAATCACAGCATAGGTCTGATTCCACTTCACTGCACTGGCAATATAATGCAGACTTGTGAACTGAGTGAACTCATTTTTTGGAGTGTAAAATGCTCTGAGATTCCTAAAGAAAATGTAACACAGCATTTAATGTATTTAATATTTTAGAATTTAATGGCAGTTAATCTGCTGAGTCAATCATTCAGTCACATGAATTCAAATTAGGCCGCATGACATTTGTGTTTTGCATCCAGGAATTTGTTCAGCAAATGTTTGTTTACAGTTTACATGCACACCTTCTTACTCAACAATCATTGAGCAAAATATTAGCAGCCAATCTTTAAAACGTATTAGCACATGACTTGATGTCACATAACTCTTTTGACATGGATTCTCTGTATGAATTTGTCTGATAAATGTTTTTTTATAGCAGTTCTTCACATAAAAGATCAAATTAGTCATCTTAGCGAATAGCAGTGAATGAGCAATATTTTTTAGTCACGACATCATTAACAGATATTTAGAAATGTATTTAATGAATGCATTTCTATTTATTGTGTCTGTCTTTTTACAGAATAAGCAAAATAATTAAATCAACTCTGCAAATAACAGCAAAAAAGATAAATAATAATAATCATATGAATCCATGTCCCATGACATTTTAACTAGCATTAAGAAACATATTTTTTAAATTGATTTCAGTTGGAGTTTATGTGGACATACCAAATAAAAAACAGCAGTCAGTTATCTGGATGAAAGAATACCAATTAACAACTTGAACAAAGTAGTCATTCACATGACTTTTAAGAGGGTCATATGACATTTGCATTTCTGTAGTACATATGGACTACTGCCTAGTGTTGTCAAAAGTATCGAGTTCGATATTAATTGGTACTGAAATTTTACCGCCAACATTTGCTTAACAGAAATGACTGTGATTGGCCGTGAAGGTCATCAGTTCAAATTAGAAAGAAATAGATGTTTTTAAAATGTTAGTACCGATTGGTACTGAACTTAATACTTTTGACAACCCTACTGTAATCAGCAGCCAATTCTCAAAACACACCTAGTGTTTCCAAAGGTATCAAATTCGGTATTAAACGGTACTGTAATTAAAAAACGTTGTTAAACACTGTTGATTGGCCATTGTGTTCACGTGCTCAACCGAAATGACTGTGATTGGCCGTGAAGGTCATCAGTTCAAATGAAAATAAAATTTCATCACAGAATAGTTCCAAAATAGATACTTTTAACAACCCTTGTGTAATCAGGCATTTAAGCAAAATAATAGCAGCCAATCCTCAAAACCCGCCTCGTGTTGTCAAAAGTATTGAAATCGGTACTAATCGGTACTGAAATTTTAAAAACGTTTTGCTAACATTGGACTGCTGTTGAGCACGTTCTTAAACACCACTGATTGGCCATTGTGTTCACATGATCACAAGAAATGACTGTGATTGGCCGTGAAGGTCATCAGTCCAAATATAAAGGAAATTAACGTTTTTTAAATTTCTGTACCAATTAGTACCAAATTTGATACTTTTGACAACCCCACTGTAATCATCCATTTAAACAAAATAATAGCAGCCAATCCTCAAAACACATCTAGTCAAAAGTATCGAGTTCGGTACTAATTGTTACTGAAATTTTAAAAACATATCGCCAACATTTGAGCACTGTTGAGCATGTTTGTAAACACCATTGATTGGCTATTGTGTTCATGTGATCAACAGAAATTTCATGTGCTCTACAGAAATGATTGTGATTGGCCGTGAAGGTCATCAGTTCAAATTAGCAGCAAATGGACATTTTCTAAATTTTAGCACTGTTCGGTACCAAACTCAATACTTTTGACAATCCTACTGTAATTAACAATTTGAGCAAAATATTAGCAGCCAATCCTCAAAAAATATAAGTCATGAATCAAGGAATTTTTACGTCAAATATATATAGTACACGTTAATATACCGACAAGTGTTAACATTCATTGTCCCTTGCAAGTGCAGAAAAATTCTTAGTTTAGCCAACAGCCAGAGCACTGAGAACACACAGACCTCTAGATGTAAACAGGTATGACAAGAGTGCAATATAAATGAATATGAATTCATCGCTATAAAAAACCCTGCAATATAAATACTTTTTGTGCAGGCCTTAAAATCCAAATTAATTTGAATGCTGACAAATTGAGGTAAACCAGTGCATGTTGACTGTCAGTTGTGATTCTTTAAAGGGAAGCTTCAAAAATCTTTGCATCTGTAGGAGGTTTTAAGTGCTTGTGTGACAGAAATAGACTTATCATACCTTGTAGTTGCGACAGGTGGGGTTGAACGCATTGGTTCCGCACGCAAAGAGGGTTTCATCGTTACGTGGCACCAGCACTTTGATGTAGTTGTAACACTCATCCTGTGAAAGACAAGACACTGGCTTTTACTCACACTATATATAACAGACACACACAAGTATACTCACACACACACACACACACTGACTCATCTTCCGGCTTACAGAGAGCATCATTTCTGCCTCTCTTTTTCCTTCACTTTCACAAACACAAATTACCATAATCCCTATGCTGAGCTCCAGGATCTGACTCGCACACTGCGACTCAGTCTTCAATCAATAATGATATTATAAAGCCTGTGTGTGTTCTGTTCGCATATCTGCATGTATATGCCACCTGCGGAGAAGCACTTAGTCTCAGACACAGACCGTTTACTGACCACTTGGTGGGTACTGATCATTAAACTGGAAAGCGCCTTGCTGATCTGCCTGCTCTAATCTGATTGGCTGCCTTGATAACCATTAGGAAGGATAAGGTATGTAGATTGTTTTTTTAATAGGAATGTACACAGTTAAAACTTTAGGAGGAGAATGTTTAGGAGGAGAATGTTTTTTTTTTTTTTTGTTATGACTGTAAATGTCCAGCCCATAGTATAAGTCTGTAACACTTCATTTAAATAAAGAGTAGAAAAAATGCCAAAACCTAAAAGAAAAGCCATTTTTTGCAATATTTGATTAAACGTGTTATATTCCTTCAAGCAGAGTTTCCAAACTACTCTGAAATTAAAACATTAATATTGTTTTGCCTAAAAATGTAAATAAATGTCTGGAAACATGGCACAATATATGACATTTAAAACACATCAGTTTGATATACTGTATGTCATCTTAGGTATAACTGGTTAATTTACAATTGATTTGGGTTTCTGAAGTGGATGTAGCAAAATAGCTTGACAGCGCCACCTTAGAACAATTAACGAAGTGCAATGTGAGCTACGTTACATGCACACATACGAAAATTGGCACACAAATCAAAAATGTCTCTTGGAGGGAAATTGCAAATTTAACAGGAAGTCAGACATTTTTAACTTCCTGGGCAAAATAGTGAAGTTTTTGCCATTTTTGTCATGTACTTTAACAAACTCAAAACACAAAATCTACACATATTTCCTATCATTTTCTAATACGGATGTCGAGATCAGATCACGTGATCGGTAATCAGGCCCGATTACGCAGTTTGTAAGTTGTAAGTTGAGGAGCTATTTGTTTTTAATAACATAAATAATAATTTTAGACTGAAAACAAATAAATCTCAGCTACATAATAGTTAAGTATTTCCCGTTTAAAGAAAACAAATGTAGTCAAAGGCTGCTGAAACTCAGTCTGAAAGGCACTTTTGATCAACTAGATTACAAAAAATATGGTATTTTTCATTGTTCACTTTGGAGCAGTACTGTGTATATTCTATATAAAGTATGAAGCTGATCGATCCAGTTTTGGTTATGTGACTTGCAGCATTATTTCACCTAGGTGTGCCTGGAAAGCGTGAGTGCATTGTGCTGCGTGCACCATTGATCCCAAGCCACGCACCTCCATTGGAAATAACAAACATGCGTGATGCGTAATGACGAAATATGTAAATGGCCCTCAGTTAATAGCCTAAGCCATAGTTGATCCAGGGTGCGTGGGTATTAACCTCGGTGTATAAGCTCTGAAATTTTAACTAGCGCACAGTGGTGTAATTTTGTGCAGAATTTTTGTTCCGTGCAGAAACACGGTGTTGAGAAGCCTTCACTATTAATTAACAGTGACGAATTAAAGCGTGGTCAATAGTGATATCGGTTAATCGTTGCATCCCTAGTAGCGAATATACATATATCGGTTACAGAAATGAACTAGAATTGTTGATAATCAATCACTTTTTTCTTGTGAACCTAAATCTTTTAAACTTTGAAGAGCTTCACATTTAACACTGCATAAAAGGTACTATTAGATTTGTTTTTAAAATGATTTCCTTGAAATAATCAGTGCATTTACAGTTGAATAGCATTCTACCACTTTTTTCCAATATTTACTACCAAACAATTCATAGGGATAGCTACAATCTGAATGATAAATGAACTGTTGGGTTGGTCACTTTATATGCCAGTCAGACCGTCTCTTCCTACAACCAGACCTGCCGTTGAGATGGAAATCTGGTTATGCGAGACTAATAACCACCAAATGCAATAGTTACTGACTTCTATCACACAATTACAGGAAGAAAGTGAAAGAGGAATGAAAGAGCTGTATACTCACGCTGTTTTTCCCCCTGACTGTGCATTTCTCCACATCTTTTGTCTTCCATGTCAGTTTCTGCCACACAAACAAACACACAATCATAGGCTCATCACTATTCTCAACAGCTTTATTGGGGAAATCTCATTTACTTCAATAAGCATCACACAAAACAAACATAAAAAAAGAGGAAAGAGAGACAGACATGGAGGTCTGAGCAACAAGGAGGGGAAAAAACAGATCCCTCAGGTTGTTAACAAGCCTTTTTCAGGATTGCGTGTGTGTGTGTGTGTCTGGGTGCTTGCTGGTGTCATTAGGTCAGGCTGTATTGCAGAGATTTACTGAGCCGCCCATGTCAGCCCACCCAACAGGAACAGCAAGCAATCAACACCCCCTCACCTACCCCTAACCACACACACACACACACACATACCATGACAAGCTAAAAACAACACTCTCGCTAACACAACTATTTGCTGCAGTGACATCTTACTCTCAGCAGTTGAGATATTAATGTCAGAGAGACCCAAAGGATAACAAGAAGAAAGACTGAGCAATCTCTCCATAAGCAGACCGTTCATAAACAATAACAACACTTCTGTTAACAACAACATGATGGAAAACATCAACAAACTGTTTGAAATTCTTGCATTCAGATCTCAGAAGGGCCTGTTCATAAAAACGTAAAGTCCTTGTGAGTTAAATACAATGTTTTTTAGATGTTGAGTAGCAGTATATCAGTCTTAAGAACATCTAAAAGCTAGTGTGCTACTAAACAAGCGCAAAAAAGAATATATAAACATCCAAGGTATCTACAGGCAAAAGAGACTGAAATTCAATACATTTTAAGATCTTTTTAAGACTCTTTTCATGCATTTCAAAACCTCATCTGGACTTTCAGTTTCAACCAATAACATTAGCAACATTTTAACTTAGTCTACAGAGTATTTACTAAACACTGATTGTAAGAAACATTATTTATGTAATGAATAAAAATGCGAATCCATTAATTGATGCCTATAGACCTTTTTCTTAGTTGCTGCATGGAGGGCACCAAAGCGACCAGCGTCTTCTGGAAAGGATGTTTAGAACTTCCATTTACAGTGTTTACAACTGGTAAATCGTGACCCGAAAATGGATGACAATACAGTTGAGAGGTTTATGGAGTGTTTTTGTGATCTACAACTTTGTATTTGAAAGATGTGTGTTAAAGCTGTTATACTTAACTGTCAGAAGCGGTTTAAGCGGGGGAGAAAAACTTTCTCCTAATTCAGTGTCTGTCAACAGATCAGATGCTGAAATACAGCGTCAGTGTTCCCGACCTGTCAGCCATACTGTACTCAGGCTGATTTGCATGTTGACTCTAATTGGGAGCAATTCATGTTTCAATTAAATCAATGTGTTAGTGGGTCAGTACGTATGTCTGTCAAACATTTTGGTGAATTACATTTGTTTGAGTTGGTTATATATTTGATAAAAAGAGAAAAATGATAACTTTTGTGATGACGAAGCTCCATTTAAATGGCACAAGATGCTGTCTGATAGTAAGAGTAAATGATTTGCAGATGTTGTTTTTCATTCCTATTAGATCACACTTTTTAAAATGATCAGTCCAGGAGGTGGCTCTGATCAACAGCAGTATTAGTTTAAAGACTTTAAAAGCAACTAAAATAGATTTAAACTATCGTTGTAAAGCTGTCGGAAAGTGACTTTTTATATGCATCAAGCTGTCAACCGGAAGTTTGAAGCATTCTGTTTACGCATACACACAAAGCATAATGGGTAATTTTACGTTGGAAAAAAAAAAACACCTATAGAACAGCAGGAATAATGGTGTTGCCTTGGTTACTCCAGTAAACAAAGCAGCGGGACATCAAATCTAGCTAGATTTTATAAACGACACAGCACCCTGATATTCACAGATGAAATTCACACAGATTTTATCAAACAACTAATATCAAAAAACATTGTATAAGCAAAAATTATTATTATTATTATTAAAAGTACATTACCATGTAAAATAGCATTTAAGACATTTTAATAATTTTTAAGAACCTTAAATTTCACTAAATTATTGAGCAACTTTACTACTTTTTGACACCCCACAGATATACCCTGACATCCAAAACAATTACTTTGACGTCAACTCATACTTCAGTTTCTCATCAAATCTTCTGACCAATCAAATGGGCTCTATCTGACATGCCCCACCCCCTTTATGACACTTTCATTTTGTTTTTCATTTGATGCGCTTGAGCTCGACCTCCCTCACTGATAGAACTGTAATAAAAACAAAGTGCTTTTGGCTGTTTTATTTAAAGGAGAAGAGCTACTCTATCAAAGTTTATCTACTCTATCTATAGAATACGCAAGACGTGTCACTCATACAGTTTTGAATGGGGAAAAGTGAAACGGTCAACACGGCTAATGAAGCCCTGCCTTCTAGTACAGGAGTTTCTGCAGATTTTGTGTGATTAGAACATTTAGAAATAACATTAAAGACATAATTGTTGTTTAATTTTATTGCTGATTCCTAATATGAAATTTAATCAAAAGGCAAGCAGTTTTGGAGAATTTGATGTTTTCCCATTCAGACAGAATGCACGAGCAAACCACTCGAGAGGTGAAAGATGGCGGCCAAGTGAAATGACTTGCCTTAAAGGGAATTTGACTCTATGCCTCACCACATCTTCATGTTTTGGTTAGAAATATGTCACACATTAAACAAAAAAATGCACATTTAAAAGCACTTGATGAAGATGTAGTATTGTGGTAGGCCAAAATGGTAATTTTAAAGGAAAAATGAAAGAAGTTTATACAACTTTAGCTTAATTTATTATATTTATTATATTTATTTTATTATTATTTTTATTATATTTTATGACTTACATAAAAACGCATTAAAATAAAACACGATGCACTGCAATATGTTGTTACATTTTTGAAAGCAGTACACATTTCAGGTTGTTTTGAGAACCACTCATAAATTCAGTCTGCAGGTTTTCAGTAAATGATATAACTCATTTCACATACACTGAGCTTGGCTAGCCATAATACATTTCATTAATTAAAAAATCTACAGTATAACAGTACACTTCATTCCAAGTGGCTCACGGAAGGCAGAAAATGCTTGTGTATAACTAAATCACGGAATTTTTTTTTATGTAAGAGACCTTGACTAACATTTCAAGTGGACCTCAGGGAAAATAGACAATGCCATAAAAGTGTAGAATATGCGTCTTTTAAAGCAACCATAAAGAGAATTGCTCATTTGAAAAATGAGATTTCTGAATGGACCTTCCCCAAAGACGAATAAAAGGGACTATTCTAACACCGCAGTGCTGATCTAAGTGAAGGAAAAAAAAAACATTAAAGATGACTGAAACAGCAAGTTAAGAAAAGGTGAGCTCACCTGTTGGGGGACGATGCGCTCCAATGAAGCACTGAGGTTAATGGCAAAAACGTGATCTCTACAGAGACAGAAAGAGAGACACAAATGACATTATTATGAAGGTTCTTTATTTGCACTGATGGTTCCATGAGAATTCTTCAATAATGAACATATTATGCTCATTTTCACTAGAGGAAAAATAAATCAATTCAATTCATAACAATCTTTGTTTCAAAGCAGCTTTAGAAAAGGTTTTGCATGTTATTGTATTACAATCAAAACCAGAAAAAGTTCAGTTATTAGATACAATAACTTTATTAGTTGCTAATAACTTTAAAGGTCACATGAAAGTAAATTAAAGTTTTTTAGATGTAATATCAGTATTATTCATTTTTAGGATATCTATAAGCTAGTGTGCCCCAAAACAGTGACAAAATTCACATTTCGAAGATACAAAACTGATATAAACACACAACACTTGTAGTTTGTCATCTCTGCCGAAATAGATCAACAGTTTTATTCATACCACCTCACAGTTTCTCATCACATTATAACCAATCAAATGCTCTCTAGTATTTGACATGCACCGCCCCCTTCAAGATGCTTCTCATTTGCTTTTTATTTCATGCACGTAAACTCAAGCACTCTTACTGGCAAATCTGTGATAAAACAAAACACAATTGGCTGTCCCACCCTCTCATCATGTTTTGGTGGAGATTATGTCAAACATCAAATAAAACTGCATATTTCAAAGCACTTCACAGGTTATTTAACTAATTAACTAGTAAGTAATAGCTTTTACCAGTTAAAGTTATTATATAAAAGCATAGTTAACCTGCAATAATATAGAATATAGGTGATGTCATTGTGTACGTTCAATGAACTGTATGTGTGTATTAAAGAGCTCCTATTATGGGTTTATGAAAATTACCTTCCATGCAGTGTGTAACACAACACTACAGAATAGAAAGTGGGACCAAAAAAAAAAAAAAAAAAACAAGGACAATAATCAAAAAAGTTTTGAATCCACTTTGTGCATTAATACTGAATGTACTGTTTTTACCTGGGATCATGGTTGATGCTTTATCTTATTCCTGCATTGGCCTCACACACATACTCTGTGCTACTTCATAACTGTGGTGGGCGTTTCTCTACATCTGCGCTGAACGCAGTTGACCAATCAAAGCAGACTGGGACATCACACCAATCACTGCAGATTAGCTTCGTGCTAAGGGGGGTTTTGGAACAAATACATTGCTGGAAAAATTGTATGAGAGTCGTTGGGATAATTAGGTAAAAATTAAAAAAAAGTATCGGGCTGTTGTTGGAGACCCCCAAAACCAAAATATTTTATCATGCATAATTGGAGCTCTTTAAGTGTATGTGTTGTCACAGGTTTTGAAAAAAAACACCTCTGGCTTCTCCAGAATAAGACTGTGAAGTTTCAGCTCCAAATAGCCCATACATCATTTATTATATCCTAGTAAATTGTGTGTGAAAAAAACATTAAAGTACACTATTTGTCTATGTCTTTTTAAATGCAAAAACCCCTTTTTGTATCTTCCTGGTGCCTTTATTTTTAAGAGTACTCGAGAATCTGGGCTTCACTTCTTTCAGTAAATAACAATACAGAGGCAATAACACCTTGCGCTGAATAGAAGGGACAGTGCTGAAGAGGCAGAGAGTGAAGTGTCATCCGTCTGCAACCCTGCTCTGAATGAGACTGATTGGCCCAATCACACGACCCTTATCATTAGCGTGTGAGGTCTTATCTTTGTGGGCATCTGGAGAAACAGCACTGGTGTGTTTGGATCTGGAGCTCCTGGTCGATGTTGCATCCCAGTCTCTGAAATGTGTGTGGTTGTGTTGGTGTGCAGTGTGAGCGTGTGATTGAACTGACACGACGTACCTTGCAGCGATGTAGACCATGTGGTTAATCCGCAGCATCCTCTGAAAATCCAGGCCCAGTCTGGCGGTGTCGTTATCTGACATGTTCCCCTGGAAACTGGGGTACAGGTAGGTGTCTTCACGGTGGCGCAGAGAGAGAGGGGAAAAAATCACTAGGTTAAAATCAGGCAGAATCTCTCTCGAAGCCTCATGACAATGATTACGTTTACATGGACATCAGTAATTAAATGATTTAAATGAATAAGACAATAATAAGATGAAGGTGTTTACATGAGTTGCTTTTTAAATGTTTCTTACATCATCCCGTTTTATATGTTATAGCACATAATTTGATTATGTCATTGGGTCACCACGCTATCCACATTTCCTTCAGAGTTTCAAGTAATTTTAGGCGTTTTATTTTTAACTTGTTGCCTTTAACTGCTGTATGGCTTTTTCACTTTCATTTTCAGGAACATTTTATGCATGGCCCCTGTGATAAACAAGATATTGGATGTGAAGAACTGCTGGAAGAGTGTTGTTTTAATAGAATTTGAGACCGTACGTCGAATGGAAAAAAAACCTCCACATGTCTGTGTTCCTTCACTGACTCGGTTAGTGCAGAAACTAGTGTCAAACAGCTGTGACTATCCTGTCACAAAATGTGGTGAAAATCTTAAACGACAGTAATTGTTTGATTGCTGTGTTTACATGTCTGTGCTGCACTTGTGACTAAAATTGGCTCCACATGTCTTCATTTTATTTCTGTTTAGTTCAATTATGATCTTAATCAAATTAAATTAATAAAAAAGTGTGGTTTACATGGTAGACTCTTGATCAGAGTATTGTCTTAATCATATTAAAGTCAGATTGTTGGTGTCCATGTAAACATACTCAGAGATGTAGAGATTATTCTTAGCATAAAATCAACTTTTAAAGGAAATTTTCATAATACTAATATTCATAAAATGAGTAGCCCTCCTGTAAAATTTTATTCGTTTTCAAATATTTTGTTTAAGTGATGTTTAACAGAGCAAAGACATTTTCACAGTAGTTTGATATTATATATAGCCAAAGCCAAAGTGACTCATCTTTGACATTGTGCTGGAAATTAATTTTCTTAAGTGTAAATAAGATTAATTATCTATATATTTATTTTTATAATTAATATATGAAAGCAGTTTTAAATATTTATCTTTTTTTTTAATTTAAGATCTATATTATTAGCCCCTTTAAGAAATAAACGTATATATTTTTTACTGGATCTAGAAAAAAAAAAAAAACACTTATCCAATAACCTGCCTAATTAACCTAACTTGCAGAGTCAGGACTTTAAGCTGCAATAATCTAGCTTCTGGCAAAATAACTAGTAAAATATTATGTATTGTCATCATGGTAAAGGAAAAAGAAATTAGTCATTAGAAATTACTCATTAAAATTATATTTAGAAATGTGTTCATATTTTTTTCTCACAATTAAAACAGCACAGGGGATATATTTTAAAAGGAATTAACATTTAATAAGAGGGCAAATAATTTTGACTTCAGCTGTATGTTTATAACAATAAATTAGAGTTTACTGTACATATACACAAGGAACAAGCCTTCAATATGCTTAAAAAATATGCAGTTGTTAACTGGGTCTTATGAAATTTTACATTTGTGTGTGTGTGTGTGTTTGTAAATTGTTGGAATGTCTAATTAATTCCTTGTGCATTTAATAAAAAAGGTCAGAAGTTTTTCTTCAATGACAAATACATTAGTAATTTATTGTATACAAATAAATATTTCGATTCACAGAACTCTGTTATCCTCAATGCAATGCAAAAGTTACATTCACGAGTGTGCAACAGTTTTCATTTCCTGACTTCAACTTTTATAGGCAGCTGATATTAACAAGTAGAGTTTAGTGAAATTCGTCACTTGTCAATTATTCTCCAGTCCTCCATTGGCCGCACCCATACATGCGTCCTCTTTTTCAACGAATTCTCTGCACAACATTAAAAGCATAAGACTTCTCAACTGCACATATTCTGTGTTTACTTTCAACCCACCACTGCTCACAGGACGATTTGCTGCAGAGCTCATTAATTTTAGACAATCAGGTCTTTGCTATTTCTATAAGCTTCTGTAAAAATTCTTCATTAATAGGCAGGGCATATCACACTCAACAGAATAAGTTCAGTTAATATATTAACTATATATATATATATATATATAACAAATAGAAATGTTTAATGAAAATAATTAAATATATTCTTTTTTCCACAATAAAATTATATATCACTTCAACAATGTATCCTTTCAGTGTATCAATTCCAGAACATGAAAACAAGTATGTAGCATACAAATTATGTTTTAATATTTATTAAATTTCAGGTTTAAATAAAAATTGTGAAAACCAAACCAATAAATGTTTCTTAGTTACATTTATTAGTTTTCATTTATATGTAGAGTTTTAGGAGTTTTTTGTTTTGATATCAAATATATAGTCTATATAGTTTTTGTATTTTTAAAAAAATGTAGATGCTTTTATTGAAGAAAAAAAATAGATGAACTCAAATGTATTAAAATATTTCCTCCAAAACTAGCTGGACCTAAATTCTCACTTAAGAAATAATATTTATATTTTTTGGGGGAAAAAAAGGGACATTGAATTCTGCAGTGTGGTGGTTTGATCAAATCATTCCCAAGGGGGTTTAATAATAAAAAAGCCCTCCCACACCCAATGTTTATAGCACTTCATATCACAAATCTAATTTAGCTTCAAGCGGTGTTGATGGGTACGTGTGTTTACGCTCACAAACATCTTCACTAATTAATCTCATTTACACTTAAAAAGATTAATTTCTAGCACAATGTCAAAGATGAGTCACTTTGGCTGGCTCTTCTTTCAAAGGCTAAGTGGGTCGCACAACATTTGCAGACCCGCAGTAAGGTCCACAATGACCTGAGGGACCTTTCATTTGCAGGCCCATTTAGAAACTGCGCACTGTACAAAAAAAGCAGAAGACACTGGGTGACAACAATGACCTTCGAGGTGAAAAGAAAATCTGGACTTTTAATGATACCTGTTCCTGCGGCTATTCAACGATTACTGTATTATTAAATTTTTTTGAGCCTGGCAGACCACAGGTGGCCACCGCAGGAGCCCAAGCACGCTCTGATGTTCAGAAGATACAGTAAACAAACTTGTAAGGGTTAAATTGGAGCAGAAACTTCACTCTCTTCTCAAAAAGACCGACTGGATAAACAGCATCATCTGATCTCGGCGGGATCATCACTCAATAAAGATCACCCAGAGTGTCTGCTGAACCAGTGATATAAGAAGCTAACTTCAATCCGCATGAAGCTCTGAAAAAACACTCTGAGCGTCAATGAATATTTGAGAATTCTTCAAAATAATTAAAGATTATTCCACAATACTAGAGCGGTAAATTTCAGATTCTTTTCACATTATTAAAAAAAAAAAAACTCAACTTAAATATTAAAACAGCTTACATGCGCTGACTTTGTAAATGGTTACAAAAAGTTCTGGTAGAAACTGAGCATTGCGGATTTAATTACTCAAGATCAATTGCTGAAGACTTCCAAACTTTAAAGGATAGTGACTAAGAATAAACATTTAAAATTTTAGTTAATTTATATTTCGCTGGTGATCCTTAAATGGGGACGTTTATGTTATATGTTAATATGTTATCAGATGATTCATGTTCTCAATACACCCAATACGATTTTTTGGTATAATCTAATGTTAAACAGCATGACATTTTAGTTCATTGTATTTTGCATAGTTCATTTTCTTAAACATTGACTTTAAGTGTGCTAGATTATGGCAAAACACTCTAAAATAATAGAAATATTAGAAATGTGTTGCATAGATGCACATCATCAGTGACTAATGAAGTTCATTTTTTTCAGTAGCGAGTAATGAAGCAAACTACAATGCTGTTACCGTTACTGATATTAAATTGTGGCATCATATAACTGATATATAATTTTCAGTAATTGAGCTACCTTTAACAGTTTTCATCTAAGCAGACTTTCTCATCTGTGATGGGGCACATAACTGATGATATTTGATGTGTGTGTTGGGGGTTGGGACAACCACATAACTGATGATGATTGACTAAGAACAAAAAGTAAGACGGAGCCACTTCATCAAAGCAAATAACAATACTTTTGCAATGTTCTGACATGCAAAAATGATCTAATTAGTTCTATCAAAATTAGTCGATCATGTCAATTATATTTCCCTTACACTAACTTGCAGTGAGTGAAGACAGGATCCAGTCATACGGCATTACTGTAATCATGTCAGCTAAGATTTGAATATTTGTTGAAAGAAATCTTTTTTTTTAAATGTGGAAAGCTGTAAATGCTATTTTTATATTTTATATAAATACAAAAATACTCTGCAATACTCTAAATAATATTCAAAAATAATACCGCAATATTTATAATAATATTTACAGCATTATTTACAATAATACTGTATATTTATATTCTATTTATGTTACATTTTTTAGAAGTCATTTATTCTTATATTAGTAATTTATTTATTTTTATTAATGCTGGGCACCGATTAATTGTATTCACAATAAAAGTTTATTTTGACATAATATGTGTTTACTACAGTATGTATATTTGAAGAGCTAAGATGTAAAAACCTCAAAATAACGTTTCAAAAAACGTCCTCCTAAAATAAGCATTTTTCTCAGCCTCCCATATTTATGTTCAGTTAATTTACTTTTGTTCCATGTTTTATAATAATCATTAATAAAATGCAATAGTGTCCATTTCACTCAACATATCTAATATGGGTGTTTACATGCCCAATTATATATCAACAACAACTCATATCAACCATATATCAACAACTAGTGTGATTCTGTTAATACACTAAAACACACTCAACAAGCACAGCTCAAGAAACACGGACGCAATCAACAAGGATGCCGTGTTGTTGTTAAAGCTTGTTATTATGCTGTTTTTCGCCCAATATTGTGTGGGCTGCACCAAGGCCACAGGGCTGATGGGACCTTCTATGATGGAGAGAGAAAGAGACTAGTATCAAAATATGCAAATGCACCGACTGCAGTAACAATCAGTGATTCAGTTTCTGTATACACTCCACA